ATAGAAATGTGCGTTTATTTAACGTTTCGAAATTCCCTCTGATTTGATTTTATATAACAAAAACTAAACAATAGTAACTCACTCAAGACAATGGTGGATGTGTCACTATATTTCATGGATTAGTTGAAGTTAGATATTAACACCACTGGATACCAGCTCAGTGGTCTAATGATTTAGTGATCGCGCGCGAGACTGATAGGTCCTGGGTTCGAATCTCGCGAGGCACGATCGTGGGTGCGCATTGTTAAAATTACTGTAACATTAAATTATTTACCTAAATAAACATTGGAACATTAATCAAAACCAAGGAAATAGATCATTACTGAGTATACTATAATTAATCATAATATGAATATGAAACATTTTGTTTTGCCTTTTTATTTACTAACAACCAATTTAAACCACGATTCAATTTAGATTATCAACTACCACGAAAAAATGTCTATTCAAATATTTAAATGGATTAGTTACAATGACCTAATCGTACATTTGAGTTAGCCAGAAAAAATAAAGTAAAGAAAGTCTGCCAAATATGACGAATATAGTGCTTTAATTGCTTTTGCTTTGTTATTATTGGTATTGTAGTGTGCGCCAGTTTTGGCGACATAAGTAGTATATAACGTTATTCAGGAATAGAATGTCTGGTAGTAAAAGATCGAGAAGGAAAGAACAGGAAAAGAAAGCAATTGGTGTGGAAATACCCGGAACAATGAAGTTTGATTCAATTAATGAATATTTTGTAAATGAAGTATTTAATGTATGGTTCCCAGACTTTACTAAGACGTTGTGTAGTTTTCTACTGAAATGCATTCGATTATCTCCACTTGTGTTCTTGTTCATTATGGTATTATTGAGTAGTGCTTGGCAGGAAAATCCAGGACATACTTTTTGTTATATTTGGAAGTTATCAATCGTGTTTTAATGTTGATCTTAATTTCTTTTCATTGAAAATTAGTTTATCGTTTAGTGAATTAAAAGTTCATGTTATCGGATACATACTATTTATAATCTGCGGTTATGTATATTTCATTATTCTATTTAACATTTGCATCAACGGCATTTCTTACTATTTATATGCTTGAATAATGTTATCAGAAACCATTCATTAATATAAAATTAAAACACGAATTTCAGCGAAGGGATCTCTTTTCAACGAATTTATTATCAAGCTGTACAATCGTATAATATAAAAGCTTTTCAGAACATTAACACATTTTTAATAAGAAGGAAAGAGAGAATACACCTTTGAATTGCCGTCAATTTTAAATCATTTTTGTTAAATAAAGACAACTAATTATGAAATAGAACTATATAATATGATGAAATAACTGCTTTTAAATGAAACAAAGCCTAACCAGAAAAGGCATAGCAGCGGTGACAAGTTGACAAAGGATAAAAAGGTTAACTATCCAAGAGAGAAGGATAGAAGGACTTTTTAGGACACAATGGACTTAGATAATTATAGAAAAGATTGAATTAGTGTCTCGTATATTGTAGGTACCGTGACCAAGGTTTGATTTGATAATTTCAAATAAATTGAGCATTGGGTAGATTATTATAAATAAATAATTTATTTGTAATGTCCCAATGAATAGAAGAGAATTCGTAAAATAAGTTTGTTATGGAGTAAGAGTAAAAATTAACTAGATGAAGGGAAATTTCTCTAGTAGGTTTATTCATAACAGTTATATATAAGAGTTTGGATTTTGACGTAGTTTAGATCATGTACAGTAACTGATCAATCTTCATTGAGATCTCCTATCGCATACACATGAACAAATGCAGATAAAGACAGTCAGTGTAGCAGCAGTCTCTGCATCTGTAGGCCTCAGCATACACAAAGGGAAAACCAAAGTCCTCAAATTCAAAGCGGAAAACAACAACCCAATCACTCTTGATGGCGAAACTCTGGAAAATGTAGAGTCCTTTACATACCTAGGAAGCATATTCGATGAACAAGGAGGTTCAGATGCAGACGTAAAGGCAAGGATTGGCAAAGCAAGGGTCGCATTCCTACAATTAAAGAACATATGGAACTCAAAACAACTTTCAACCAATATCAAAATGAGAATCTTCAATACCAACTTCAAGGCAGTTCTACTGTATGGAGCTGAAACTTGGAGAACTACAACAACCACCATCAAGAAGGTACAAGTATTTATAAATAGCTGTCTACGCAAGATACTCAACATCCATTGGCCGGATACCATCAGCAACAGCCTACTGTGGGAGAGAACAAACCAGTTTCCATCTGAAGAGGAAATTAGGAAAAGACGATGAAAATGGATAGGACATACATTACGCAAATCATCAAACTGCATCACGAGGCAAGCCCTAACTTGAAATCCTGAAGAGTAAAGGAAAAGAGGAAGGCCAAAGAACACATTGCGTTGGGAAATAGAAGCAGATATGAAAGGGATCAATAGGAACTGGAAGGAGCTGGAAAGGATTGCCCAGAACAGGGTTGGATAGCGAATGCCGGTGAGCGGCCTATGCTCCTTCACGATGAGTAACAGGCGTAAGTAAGTAAGCTTCATTGAGATAGGTACACCTTAATCAGGTTAGTTCGATATTACTTGGGATTATCAAAGATCAACACTCGAATGAGGTTACAATCAGATGATAAGTTCTAAATAAGTTGTAAGGTGCATTGTGGGTTTCACTACTAGCTATAATAGAAATTTATTAATCACTATAGTATTACCTCATTGTCCGTCCCCATAATTTCACTAATAGATAGAAATATGATTATTGGTGTAAGCGTTTGTAAGTTAATGTCAGAGGAGAAAAATTTCAATATATCATATACACAATGGTATTTAATTGGTTTAGCTGGTAAATTGTGACAGATTGTTTAAGTATACCAAAAATTTACGTGTAAAAACAGTTGAATTAAGAAAATTTCACCCTTAATATTAAGTTACACTTGTAGTAATGAGATCGCAAAATTCAATAATATTTTCTCCATTTTTTTGATTAATTTTTGCGCTGCTCTATAGAACTGATTTCATTTCTATGTAATACTGTGGTACGTGCTACTTATATCGATATAAGTAGTATATGACGCGAGTCAGGAATGTAATGTCTGGCAGCAGAAGATGGGGAAAGATCAAGAAAGCGAGAGCGGAAAAATAATGCAATTTGTATGAAAATGCAAGCACAATGAAGTCTGAAGCATTTTGAAACAATTGGTGAACATTTTGCAAATGAACGATATGATATATGGTTCTCAGATTTTATTGAGATATTCTGTAATTTCGATTATCCCCACCCATGTTCTTGTTCACTACAGTAGTTTCACTCCACTTACAGAACTCTTAGAAATGATATTTTTATCACTTAAACAAGATAACTTGCTGTCATTTATTCAAAACTGATACTTACAACAGAATTATTAACATAGTAATCTAAAACAATTAGTCCCTTTGATAAGTTTCGATAATGATATTGGAAGAGGAAAACTATCAGAACTATGTGATATATTAGAGCAATACATTTCGAACAATCTGGTCACACATGTACCCAAATAGCTTCAGAAACAAATACAATCGAGTGATCCAATAAGAGCAGAGGATAAACATCCATCATCCTCTATTGCTAAACATATAATTGAAACAGGTCACAAGATTGATCTAGATTCAGCTTTTGCAGTGCTGTATAAAAGTGTAAAAGGGCGTATACTAAGGTTTATTGAAGCCTTAGCCATACGAAAATTCAAACCTCCCTTGTGTGTTCAAAAACAGTTTGTTCTTACCTTAAACCTACCCTGGTAATATTGACTTATTATCCAGAGTGATTAGGTTTCAAATTGTGTTCACATTATTATTATTATTACACTTATCATTATCCTTATCTCCTCTTACCCCGTTTCCTGTCAAGTTGACCTTTTATTTTTTATATATAAATGCACTTAACAAGTATATGTGTGACCAGATTGTTCGAAATGTATTGCGTTAATATGTCACATAGTTCTGATAATCTTCGTCTTCTAATATCATAGTAATCATTTTCGTATATTTTTGAAACAACTTGGAATATAAGCAGAGATGGATAGTGGCTAGCAGTGGAATCCAGGACACGCGTTTCGTCCTGTTTGGGACTCGTCAGCTGGATGTACCTGCATCTCAGAGTTGATGTTCACTCTGGGACTCAAACATCAATGGGAAGATTCAAATAAAACAATATCAAGTGAATTAAACTTGGAATATATATTGTTTATCTAATTCACGAATGAATGATTATTTATAATGGATTCGAAACTTATTGGGGGACAATACTTTATTCTAATCGAAAATATATTTCTTCAACTAAAGGATTATAAATATAGTTACCATGATAATAATAAAAAGTTTTTTATCAATCATAAAATATACATCTCTGGTAGAATTGAACATAGAATCGTTAGTATTATACTTGATAACTAAATCAAATCATGAGAACTTTATCAAAGCATATGATAGATCATGTTCACAATGATAAAATGAACTAGATAAGTGAAATGATAAAATTTGTCTTATTTTTTTTCCATTATAATTTGGTTTAATGTAATGGGATTACTTTTAAATGTTTGAATACATTGATGGGATAAAACTTAGATATTATTAAAGATAATTTATAATGAAGGAAAAGAAAAACTCAGATTGAAATTGTCAGTGTTTACATGATTTATATTATTTTACTTTGTATCTGTGTATACACTTTGCATTTGAACATTTTCACTGTCGAGTATTCTGTATGTTAATCATACACATGATTCAGATCATGATGAAAAGAACCATAAATGAAACTTCGCTATCAACCTACAATGCCCTAAAATGAAAGAAATATGTCAAATACATTTTGTTGTTCATCCGTTTCTTTACATTGAATGGAATAAAACATTTTATTATATAACTATGAAGATTTAACTACATTGTGATCATTTACTTTAAATTCATTATGATGTTCCATATATATATATATATACCATTCAAATAAAACTTTTTTGTTAATTCAACAATATGGCATATTTGAACGCCGTTATTAAAGATTCTGATATGGATCGGTATATGCAAGAAGAAGCTTTGACTGTAGCGGCAGATGGAATGGATAAACATGGTATAGATAAAGATATGGCTTCACATTTAAAACAATATTTTAATTTAAAATATGGAAGAACATGGCATTGTATTGTTGGAAAACAATTTGGAAGGTAAATGAATTTAATTATAATTTAACTAATTTTTTGCTTATAAAGAATAATACACTAGTTTTTCTTATGGTAATCTATTAGTGACAATTATGTAGGTTCTTTTATTTAAATGAATTCTCAAGTAATATCACCGTTGTAATTATAAAAGTAAGTTAACCTACTTAGTTGCTATGTAAAAGGTCTTTGAGTTTTAATATCCTATTTTGGGAGTTTGTGAACTTATCAAGTCCGTAATTGTACATGAAGAGCATAATTAAACTGTTAGCATAAATAAACGATAAGCTCTATCAATGAGAACACCTGTAGATGTAAAAAAAGAAAGACTTATGAACCCTCTCAGTTTGCCGAACTTTCAATCGATATATTGCCAGGTATTTATTATGCAACCAAAACAATAAAAAACAGCTTTCAGGCTTGTTTAATCCAAATTACGTAATAGTAATTTAAAAGTAGGAGATCAATTAACTTAAATATTTATATAAAACAAATTAAAAGTATCTCATCAATATCTTGGATAAAATATAAAATCATGTCATATTTTCAACTTCATCCTATTAACCATTCACTTTTTAATAGACTGTTGAAAAGATCAGTAAAGTTTGTTGAAACATTGTCAGTGCTTCCAAGTTTTCCATGGTGGTCTAGCTTCAAATGACTCATGATCCCAACCATTGAAATTACTATAATATCCACAAATCCCCTTCTGATACTAACCAGCATTTGCTTATTAGTGACTGGCTTCAAGAGGTATTTTCTGGAGTTCTTGTGAGAAGTAGTGATCAGTGGAATTCGACCGGGTCTGTTGTGAAATAACAACTCACTGAAGATAATGATGGATGTGTCGCTCAATTTCGTGGATTAATTGAAGTTAGATATTAACACCGTTGGATTTCGGCCCAGTGGTCTAGTCAAATTTCGATTTAACAGTTTGGTTATTAAATAACTAAGATTTTAATCTGAAAATTATTGTATCATATCTTGGTTTGATTGAATGTTTCTTGTAACTTCGATCATTACGTTTACATACATGTAAGTCAATATTGATTTTCGGCTAATAAGATTAATGGTAGCCTAAAATATTTTTAAATATGTCCGTATATGGAATAGTAACCAGCATGTATATTTTGTTTAGTTCTTGACAGTAATTAAGTTTTATCAATCAAGCTGCAATGCAATATTTCACCCAATATGTTTATATGATAAGTGATTGGAGGCAACTGGGAGGAGACTATGAGCCCACATTTTATAATTAATCGTAACTCAAGTAACCTAATACTTACACATATGAATGTGAAAACCAGTGTTTCAGGTTGAATATATACAGATAGCAACAGGTTGTTGATGCCTCCTGTTGACGAAGGCCGACAAGCACCAAATGTAGGCTCAAGACCTGTAGCTAATTAACACCGAAAACCTAACAAAAGAACCACTTGATCATCTGCGACTGATTTTAGTCTGCCATATTAAAAAGAATGATATTTCCGATTAATTTATTATGAAAAACATCATATTAGTAGATTTACTCAACTTTTATTTCATTTGTGCCGAATTAGACGTTAAAGATATTGTTTAAAATAACATTTAAAAATTCTCAATTAAACCATCCAATATGAACGACTCAACAAAACCCAAATCATCTGTCTGAGATAAAAAAATTATTGGGATTTTATGACACATTTTGCCGATGGATCTTTACTGTGTCTTGGAAACAGATTGAATATTAAGCAAGTGATAAAAATTCGAATGTTTGATAACTCGTTATTGACTCCTTTTCATGATAAAAATGACAAAACCTGATTTCTTGAATGATTTCGTATGTTACTTAGAGTAATCGATTGTGTATTATGTTCTGTTGTATTAATTGACAATACGATTCAATTGTAAATGGATAATTACAAACGACAACGATTTTCTTGAAATTCCTTGTATTCATTTATGGTAGTAATTCAATACTTCTGAATTATAGGACTGTATCTATGTTTTAGAAATGTGTAATATAGTGTTTTTTGTTGTAATTACAATCTATGTATATCAAGGTTTTGTACATTTTCTCACAACAATAACTGAATAAATCTAGAAACAGAAAGTTATTAGTTCACTTGGTAACTTCCCATTGAGGTTTAAAACTGCAATTGATCAGTCTATTATCAGCATATGTGCTTACTGTGCGTATGCCTTGATATTGCCTTAATTCACAAGCTTTTTGTGAGCAGTGGTGGGTAGTGGCTAGCAGTGGAATCTAAAACGCGTGTTTCGTCCTTTTCGGGACTCGTCTACTAAAACTAAAATTTCTTATTTCTCAAAATATTTTTCTACAAAATTTCATATAAATCAATAAATTTTTTGATTTCTACCTTTGAAAATTGATCAAGATTCTCTTCTTATTTAAAATAGAATTTGATAATTTTATACAATATATCAATGAATAATCAATAATTAATTTAATCGATTGCTTATTTTTTGATTTTTTTCTTCTTCAAATTCTAGTGACGTTTCATATGAAGAACAAGGTTTTTTATATTTTTTTCTTGGAGATAGATCATTTCTACTATTTAAATCAGGTTAACGAGAACCATTTTATCCAACCTTTGTTATTATTATTACTGTTTATGGTATTATTAGAAGTAATTGTACCCACATTAAAAACAAACGGAAATACTATAAATGAAATATTTTTATTGGATATGCAAAATTCATTATGAAAGATGAACAGATTGTTGAACCGTATAATTTTAATTTTTTTTAAAAAAAACTGTATTATGAGTATACTTTCATTTGCTGTAGGTTGTCGCGTTTTGCAAATCACTGTCAAATGTTTGTTAGAATAGATGGACTGTAGCTAGAAGTGGAATCTAGGGTACATCTATTTTTATTCAAGTTAATAATCATCAGTTATATGTATTTGTATCCTGATGTTCATTTTCCGACCGGGTCTCAAACACTATATCTTTCGCTTTAAACATCAGCACATTATACCACTGACCTATTTAAGTCAGATCGCTAATAACTTATTCAAAGGATATTATGTTGCTATCACTATTAGTTAGAGTTTAAATGTTGGTTAGGAGGCGATGTGTTTGTTACGTTCAAAATATTTATTTGAGAGTGATTTTCGAGTGAAAACTTAAAAAGATGATCAGGGAAAATTTATTTCGATTTCTTAGATAATCATGAATAATACGGATATAGTAACATTGGATATTTTGATAAGTTCAATTCTTGAAAAGTATCAATATAACAAATAGTGTCATATCAAATGAAAAAAGTCAGTATGAAAATAACTGAACTGTAAGATATTCTATAAGTAGCTGTCAATAAAATGAACTAATATTCCTTTATAAAAGACCCTAAAAGAATTCACCCTTCGTAAATTGAAATCTTTATTTAGTGCATTAATTTTTGCAATGACTAGTACATTTGCCAAGCCTAATACACCTTTCGTTAGTCTACTGAAAATCCTTAACTCATTATTTTATGTAATGTATCTTTCGAAGTTAATTAATATAGCATCAAAATACTAACAAAAGTTTATTATACCAGTATATTGTATACTGGATAACCCTATGGTATCGAGGACACAATTAGAGTAGGCTCATGAATAATGATTTAAATATCTTCCAAATGAAGAACGAAGTCAATGAATCATATCACAGGGAATTTTGTAGTAGTCAAAGACAAAATATTATCTGCATTAAATTGAGAAATAAGAAGAAATTATAAACCGAGATCAGTCCATGAATTAAACTATAAAGATTAAATAATCTTTACAACCTTCCATATTGACATTGTTATCGTTAAAAATTACATAATAAGTGTATAAATAGTCACTTTAGGTATGTTGATGGTAAAGGTGCGAAGAGAAATAAACACAAGTTAAAAAACAATCATAAATATCGTCTGTTAGATTTCCTTTAACTTAGAAATTGGAAGTGATAGAACAAAATATTTCTGAACTAAAAGTTTTGGTTTCTTAGTCCAAATCCTTGCGATTTCCGTCACATGTGATAGACGAGAACAAACCCCATTCAGAAAATTTGAAGAATTTTTAAAATTAATTCCGAATATTTTATTCCTATCTAATACCCGATCACTATCGGCCAAATGGGATAAACAGGAGCTGTATACTGATTTCGTCTGACCCTTTTCAAACTACGAAGAGAGACACTTGCTAATTCGTTATTTGCGTTGTAGATTCGTGTCCAAGATATATCTTCTCCAAAGGAGCAGCAGAAATGCTTAATATATATTGATGTAGCGAAGGCAAGTAATTGATTCATGAGTTAGGGAAAAAATTACTAACATAGATCAGCTGCATTAAAAGTTCTTTTCACCACTCTAGTTCATCTGTTTCGTAGCAAATCACAAGCTATGCCACCATCGAATCACAGCTTCTAGAAAAAAGATGTCTCACGAATAGTTTGTCTCCATCTTCCCGTTTATTGTACTTTTACAGAATATCTTCAAGGCAAATCTTTCTAAAGAGCATTTGCATAAACTCTAGTTTTGTTTATAATTTCTTCTGAGCATATCTTTCCAGTTCTGGTTGTAAGACACCTAATTTTTTTTCTTGTAAAGACTGGCTACGTGGCAAGAAATAATGTACCGACTACGATTCAGATGAACTTTTCAATATGTATTTCTACTAATAGTTCCATCTTTTAGAATAAATAGAGAATTGGGGGATTGCAAAATGATATATAATTACTACTATTATTATTATTATCATGATTACCTCAATTAACAAGATGAAATACTTCTACTATGCATTTTACTGATATGATTTTTTGTTTTGTTATATTACTATTATACGAATTATGACTTGACACCTTATTAACAAATCATTCTGACCTTTATTAAATGACCTTACTGATTTACATGTAACACAATTTTGAGGTATTTATATTGTAACAAATGCAAACGTTCACCATTTTTAGCATATAACATTGTCAAATTCATTAATACATACCTTATTTTAACCTTTGTAAAATATCACAATAATTATAGACTTATAATTATAAAGTTGGATGATATAGTTATGGAAAACAGTTGTTCGCTCAAATATTCTTTATTCTCGATGTCTAATTCTTTCTCATAAATAAACATGAATGCTTAGTGTACATTGTTGAATTGATTTAATAGTTCTCATTTTCAACATCTGATTAAGAGTTTATGAATATGTTACTGATAAAACTGTAGTATATCAATAACTTCCTTAAGATGCTCATTTGTTAATTTTGTAAGAATTTCAATGGTTGAGATCATGAGTCATTTGAAGCTGGACCACCATGAAAAACCTGGAATCACCGGGTGGTCGTTTCGACCTACTGTGGGACTCATCAGCAGTGATCTGATTAGCCCTAATGGGTTGGTATCGGACGAAATCTCAGCACGGATTCGAAAAGCTCGTTTGGCTTTTGCCAACTTACGTCACCTGTGGCGAAGGCGAGATATCCGTTTATCAATAAAAGGACGAGTATACTGAGCGGCAGTCCGTTCTGTTCTAATTTACGGCAGCGAAACATGGCCATTAAGAGTAGAAGACACTCGTAAGCTATTACTATTTGACCACAGATGCCTTAGAAATATTGCTGGCGTCTGCTGGGACAACCGGGTAAGTAATAGTGAGGTTAGACGCAGGGTATTAAGGAATGATGGTAAATCAGTTGATTAGGTTGTGAATCTTCATCGATTGAGATGGTTGGGCCACGTGTTACGTATGACTGAACACCTATTACCACGACGTGCAATGCTAACCGGTATTGGAAATGGTTGGAAGAAAGTTAGGGGCGGCCAAACCAAAACGTGGCATCAGTGCTTGAAGTCACTAACTTCTAGTCTGAGCCATGTTGGTAGATGCAGACTACTTGGTTGGGGTCCGCGTGACTATCGTAACCAATGGTTGGAGACTCTTAGTGACATAGCTCAGAATCGATCACAATGGCGTCGGTGTATACACTCTCTGTCTTCCCTTAAACTAAGAGATTAAAATCGCTTCATATCTTTCTTTCTACGAACCAATTCTTTCTTCTTGTACTATATCTCTATATGCAATCTTTCTCTTATATATTACCACCTTTTACCTAACCACTGTCATGAATCCGGTGTTCATCTTGTTGTGCTGTTGCGGTATGGCAACTTGAACCGATGCACACATGTGCCTGGTCCTACGTTGTAGCTGACTGACTGACTGACTGACTCATCTCGCGAGATTCGAATCCTGGACCTATCCGTCTCGTGTGAGATCGATTAACCACTAGACAACTGAGTCAGCATCCAGTAGTATGAATGTCTAACCTGAACTAATTTACAAAATTGAACGACACATCCACCATTGTCATCCGTGGGCTACTATCTCACAACAGACCCGGTCGAATTCCACTGATCACTGCTTCTCACTAGAACTCCAGAAAATACCTCTTGAAGCCAGTCACTAGTGAGCATATGTTGATTGTTATCAGAAGGGGTTTTTGTGGATATTATAGTAATTTCAATGGCTGAGATCATAAGTCAGTTGAAACTGAGGAGTCCCACAATAAAATGAAACGATCACCCCGTACTTCCAGGTTTTCCATGGTGGTCTAGCTTCAACTGACTCATGATCTCAACTATTGAAATGACTACAGTCTCCGCAAAACCCTTTCTGATATTAATTTTACAAGAATTTGTATTGTGTTGTATTGTTTTAAAAAAAATAAATTATGATCCGTTATTTAAGCCTTATTTTATGATGATAATTGATTTCATAAATTTCTTTGATTGATCTAATATTTTCCAAATATACACTTAAATATTATCATGGATCAGAGTAAAGCCTAATGAAGATCTATCAACCAACAATACTATTCATTAATATTTTTTCTGGTTAGCGTTTTTTTAGCGAGTTAGTTTTCTACAGGATGGGGACGCTAACCCCATGCCCAACCCTCCTCCTTTATCCGGGCTTGGAACCGGCAGTAGCCCCCGGAGGGACTACAGGCGGAGTTATTCATTAATATATCTTGTTCTAATTTTGGTAAATTGAAATAAATTATAATTTATTATTACAAAAATGTTTATTCTTTAAATTGCAGTAAATTGATTGACTTAATCTATTCTAATTACTTTTATGCTGATTACAGAATTAATTTATCATGAATAAGTTTATCTTATACAAAGAGATTTTGAGCTTAAACTGTTATCGTTATTATCATCATTATCGTTAATGTGACTATCATTATTATTACCATTATTATTATTATTATTATTATTATTATTATTATTATTATTATTATTACCATTATTATTATTATCTTATTATTAAGGTTTATAAAAGTAAATATTTTGAATTTGTTTTATTAAATAAAGAGACGTTTTATGTGTATAATTAAGTAATAATACTATCAGTTTCATTGTTCAATAATTAAATGCCAGTAATTTCTTTCATATGTTAAAAACATTGACCTTTTTAATAAATATAAAAAATAAACTAAATTGATATTTGTTATATTCAAAGTTAGTTTTGTTTGTTTGCTTGCTTAGGGGTAGGTAGGTAGGTAGGTAGGAATTGGGTAGGTAGGCATGTAGGTA